GAAGCCTTCTGAGTAAATCACCAGAACGCCGACACCTCCTCATCTCCACCACTCCCATGTTTTCTTTTGTGTTGCCATAAGTTAGTCTCTCTGCGTTTGTGCGCTGGGCTAATGCTAATGCTAATAATGCTAATGCAAGGAAAATAAAATGGCGGCTTCACAAAACCTTTTGGGAGAGTTACGGGGCGTAGTATGCAATCCGCCCAGCCAATCAGAAATGGGAACTTTTTACTCCCATGAAAGTCTCTGCTCTCTAGCAGGCACTGAAAAGGGGGTGGAAAGGTTCTCATGAACTAATTTTAGTTCCGGATTTTTTTGGTGTGAACGCACATTTTTGGAACTATATCGGAACTATACTGGGAAAAGCACTCCGGTGTGAAAGCGCCTATTGCTTTACTCTGCAACACAGTGTCATGTAAGATTCAGACAGTACTACCTATAAGACATCTGTGACATATCAGCAACAATCACTCACTTTTAATGTAGTTTCCATGCCTTATCTGTAAACATGTCACAAACCATTTTAGCAAACGCTTCGTACACGTCTAAACTTCGTCATGCAAGATTCAGACAGTACTAAGAAATATGTCTGTCTCACCCAAGGGGAAAACAAATGCTATTTAAGTTCCCAAGGCGCCTGTCACGAGAGCACACACATCAAGTTATTGTATGATGAAATTACATCCTTTAAATTACTTTTACATTAAATTGTGAGCAGCTTCGATGACAAAACTGTTCTGTTAAATCCAAATTAATTACGGAGGGTGGTGGATGCTCTAAGTAAAAAAAGCCTTTCCACTTGTGTTCACAAAGGTCCTAACTGTTGAGACTTCATTGGGTAGTATAGTGCCTGTTGAATAAATGACTGTGCTAAATGTTTAATATTCATTTCAGTTCAATTTCAGTTTTAACAGTGCCCTCAATTTGATTAGTTTATTGTTTGAATCGTGTGGTTTTATTACAAGTTCCTTTCTGTTTAAAAGGGTTCACTTGATTAAGAGGCTGTTATATTATCATGGAAGGAATACAATGACCTTACGACACCTATAATATAGTTTATCATAACTATTTCTTTAATAAAAAAGGCTTCAGAGTGAAATAGGGCTACTCAATTAATTGTATTTTAATCGCAAATACGATTTTGGCTTGCAAGGATTATGAAAACAACATAATCGAAATAAAACGATTATTCTTTTTTTTTAAATGTATTATTATTTATTAAAAAAATATATATATATATGTTTTTTTATTAGTTTTTCAATTGAATTATACTTAAAGTTCAGGGTAATCAACTGTTAAAAACATACTACACCTTTTTTTCCAATAAATTAATGTTTTCAAAGTAAATGGATAATCGTTTTTAATAACCATAATCTCAATTATTGACCCAAATAATTAAGATTAAGATTTTTGCCATAATCGAGCAGCCCTAGTGTGAAAGGCAGGGAGGAATACAAAGGGCCTTACAACACCTATAATATAGTTTATCATAACTATTTATTTAATAAAAAAGGCGTATTACCCAACTCTTTAGAAGCTTTCGACTTAAAAATTGCTCAAGTAATTTCTCAAAAAACAACAAAAACAAACAAAGCTTAACGACTCTCCGGGGTTCCCAGCAAAACCCTGGACAGGCTCCAGTACATCCAGAACTCAGCTGCCAGGGTTCTCACACACACTCTCTTCAACCTCCACTGGCTCCCGGTCAAGTCCCGCATCACCTACAAACTCCTCCTCGTCACCAACAAGACCCTCCTCTCCCCTCAGTCCCCCATACATCCCGTCCCGCACCCTTCGATCCTCAGACTCCGGCCTGCTCTCCATTCCCCATTCACGCCTCCGCACCTTCGGGGACCGTGCCTTCAGTGTCGCTGCCCCCACCCTCTGGAACTCCCTCCCTGCTGAAATCCGTAACGCCCCTTCTCTGAACATCTTCAAATCAACCCTGAAAACTCATCTGTTCAACAAAGCCTTCCAACAATAACTCACTCCCCCCGGCCCCCCCCTGCAATGTAACACTTCCATTTCTGCACCGTTTTATGTCTTAATGTTAGGTCCTTATATGTTTCATGTTAAGCAACCTTAGGTTAAAGAATATATAAATTAAAGTTAATATTATTATTATTAGTGAACTCACATGAACGAAAATTAAACAATAATTAAAACACTACATCAGCAAACTCAAAAGGTGTATTTAGTGTCTGTTCCTCTTGATAAGCTTGCTGTGATTCTGATAACTGTAATAAAAAATAAACACACACTAAATACAGCTTTGAGTTTGTTAAAACAATATATTTTAAAGGATTTATAGGGAAATCACAGGAACAAAAATAATACAATAGTTACAAAACTACACCAGCTAACTCAAAAGGTGTATTTCGTGTGTGTTCCTCTTGATAACCTTGCTGAGATTGTGATAACTGTATTACAAAATAAAAAGTGCAGTGGGAGGTTTCTCAGTGATTCATGTGCGTTTGGTTTAGTGCAGCTCGGATGAAACCTGGTCGCCATCTTTACTCTCCATCCCAGCACACATCGCTGCCGGTGGGGCGGAAACACCGACTCATCGACCCGGTTCATTTCTGAGGAAGTACCGATAGACCTGACACACACACATACACACACATACATACACACACACCCTCCGAGATTTTTAACCACTGAATACTCGTCCCGTTGCCACTCAACACACACGATGGGAGAGCGAGAGGACATGGTTTACCAGGCGAAGCTTGCCGAGCAGGCGGAGCGATATGACGGTAAGAAGGTGTCTCATTCTCGGCTTGAAAACGGGACATGTTCACGGAGCTTAGTTAGCCTCTCGATTAGCTGCTAGGTGGCTAACGTAGCTAGGTGTACGACTAACGAAGCTACTGTTACCTAGCAACGTGTTTTTTTTTCTTCCCCTCAACTGACAGCCGTTAAAACAAAAGAAAGGTGTCGTAACGGGTGTGTTGTTGTTGTTGTTTTTATTTTAGAGGTAAAAATAAACAAGCTAACGGACGGTGGTTAACGTTAGCGGAGGGGGCCACAACAAAATGGCGGAGTGAGCTGTCAGGAGTTCCTCCCTTTTTGCACCATTGAGCAGAATCACAATCAGAATAGCTCTAGATTGACATTGTTTATACACAATATTATTCAAGAAGCATTACATACTAGAGGTTGTAATATAAGGTGTTGTTCTTCTGAACCAGAATACATGTATTCGTCCCAATTTACATGGTTACAGCAAAAGTAATGAGCCAAAGATAGCTTTATATTCATATTAATTAAGAAGCATGCATTACATATTAAAGATAACATTAGAAAATACACAATTTACAATAGTAATGTAAAAGATATATCCTCTTAACTCTCACATATTAGAAACTGAGAATAAGAATACAGAGGGGACATTTACATTTTATATGCATAGCATTAATTAGGAAGCATGCATAACATTGAAGATAAAAATAGAAAATACTCAATTTACAATTGTAATGAAAAAGATATATCCTCTTAACTCTTAAATATTATAAACTGAGTATGTCAGAATGAAAATACATGTATTTGTCCCACAGGGGGAAATGAACACCCTATATTCATAGTATTAATTAAGAAACATGCATACAATATGAAATAATAAGGTAATAAAGTAGATTTACAAAAATACACATCCAGTACCAGTTGTGAGAAAGAAGCCAGAATTACAATACATTGATTCATAATATTAATTCAGAAGCATGCATACAAATATTAAAGATACAAATATAAATTGTTCTTGTTCTTCAGAATCAGAATACCTTCATTCATCCCAATGGACATGGTAACCGCAAAGATAAAGAGATTAATATTAATCAAGAACCATGCCTAAATGTATATTTAACCGTGCACACATCTGTATAAATGTACATTCTCCGGACCAGAATTGAATTCACTTTATTTCTATTTTTATTCATACTGTTAACACGTATTTAATCTTATTATTTTTTAACTAACTAAAACTGATTCTGTGATGTTCAAGTAGTGTAAAAGATACATCCTCTTAACTCTAAAGTATTATATATGTCAGAGTCGTCCCACAGAGGGGACATTCACATTGTATATTCATAATATTAATTAAGATAAAAGTAGAAATCACACAATTTACAATTTTAATATGGTATTTATGTCACTTGGTTATTTTAAATTGCTGCTACTCGTCTTTTGTAGCCATGGTTGTGTACTTGTCTTTATTTTATTGTTTTATTTTACTCCGTCCACATTTGACAACGATTTGTATTCAAATGTCACGAGGGGCTATGTGGAGCTGGGCATTAGGTTGGTTTAAGCAATATTTCATCTGTTTTCAAGTCTTCAAATGTGGAGATTTCCTGCTTTTCTCTAATTGCATGAATAAAAGTGAATGTTTCTAGGTTATGGACTGTCAACAAAAAGGCATTGAGATATCCAGTTGGACTTTGAGAAACTGGTTTGGATATATTTTGATTACTACTGTCAGACCAGACCAATAATCTAGAAAATAATTAATCAATTATGAAAGAACTATTATAAATTGGAGCAATTAGATGTTTGTTTAGACTTAATAAACACACGTTTTGTGTGTTTGCAATAATCCAGTCCAGATTTAAACGTTTAAGTATTTTGTTTTTTGGTTTAGCCCTGGTACGAAGTGTGAAACAAATCGGTATAAACATAATAACAGTGGCACACGATTTAAAAGCGTGCATTAAG